GTGTGTGCAGCCGTTGGTTTTTCACGACTGCTGTTTCCATAAATGATAAACGGCAATTCTAGTGGCAGAGTATTAGTGTTGGCACTTCTGGTGGTTGCGTCATGCAATTTAATGAGTGTTCAAGCGGTCGGTTTGTGACGACAAAACTGTCTTCCTGAATTTTCCCTTTGAACAGTGACAGGCATTTTGTATGGTTGTCGTTGGTATAGGAACAGAACAATATGAGGTGCCCCGTGTGATGTAACGTTGGAATTGCAATAACCTTACAGAAATTTTTCATATAGACAACGCAACCTCATCAATTTTGAGGTTTGAGATTTTGAGGTTTTTCAACAAAGGATCAACATCATGGGACACGGGTGTAATCCATAAGTGCTCCATTCTTCTTCTAACTCAAGTCTGAGTCTGAAGAAGCTCAGCACATTGCACATGCTCTGTAGCACCGGCGAGGATCCTGAAATATTTTGGGTAGATTTTTAACGCCAAATTTTGCCCGGACAGCGCCATTAGGCTACTCTTTTTTAATTTTCAATTGCCAAAGGATTTTTTGTACGTGTGCAACAACGCACACGGGCGTCTGATCTCACTAACCAGAGACCAGGGAGAATAACTAAACCTCAACAATTCTGAATGAACAAACACGTACTGTATAGTTTCCAGCATGTTATTGATGTCGCTGATGTCAAAGTTGGTGGTGTTGAGACAGTACAAAATCTTGTTGATGTCATCAATGTCATTTTGCATCAGCCTGAAGTCAGCGTCGAAGGCTCGGAGGGAGCCTGACAAGGGAACTTCTTTAGCTTGTCTCACAGCGTTGTGGGTCTGCTCTAAACACAGAAGGTAGACGTTTGATTATCGTTTGTGGGTGTCTGACTAACAGACTGCGGGACAATCAAAGACATAATAAAATTGCAAGAATTTGTTTTATGATACGATGATGTTTGCTAGTGAATCAAACGATCATGTGAATCAAACGATCGTGTAGAGAAAAAAAAAACTAATTTAATATTGTGACGAAAACTCTAACCACTAGCTGAATTGTAGGAGTACAAATTGAATGAAAGATATCCTATGTGATTGACAGATTTATTTTGTGTACACAGATCAAAACATAAATTTAAGAAGACACTTGATGTCTTGTTTGAGACACCTGATGAGATCTATGAGACACTTGATGTTATGTTTAAGATATTTTATGTTATTTTGGAGACAATTGATGTCATGTCTGAGACACTTGATATGATGCTTGAGACACTTGATGTGATATTTAAGACACTTGATGTGATGTTTGAGACACTTGATGTGATATTTAAGACACTTGATGTGATGTTTGAGACATTTGATGTGATATTTAAGACACTTGATGTGATATTTAAGACACTTGATGTGATGTTTGAGACACTTGATGTGATATTTAAGACACTTGATGTGATATTTAAAACACTTGATGTGATGTTTGAGGCACTTGATGGGATGTTTAAGACATTGATGTGATGTTTATATTCGTGCAAAAGAAAAAAAAAAAGAAAGAAATTGTTAAAGGTTTCTAGAGATTGTGAGGCCCTAACTGAAGCTCAGCGCATGTCTAAATCCAGGACTGATGAGAATACATTACCTCGAATGTCCTTGATGACCTTGTCCCAGTTATTGAAGCACTCCCCGCAAGGGACACAATTGGGCAGGACTCCTGTAGTCCCTCGTGAGCATTTATCACACTTGTGGCCGACCACTCCCTCCAGGCAGAGACATTGACCTGTTCGACGGTCACACTGCAGAGACCTTGAACCCTGGGTGTCGCAGTCACAAGCTGTGTATGAAGAAACAAAAAATTGTTTAAAACTGAGATCTAACAGGCATAGGGTGACCAAAATATCTTGAGCTAAAAACTTGACATCTCTCTAAAATTTCCAGCTGAAAATTTGACATCTCTCTAATATTTCCAGCTGGAAACTTGACATCTCACTAAATTTTTCATCTGAAAACCCGACATCTCAATAATATTTTCATCTGAAAACCTGACATCTCACTAATATTTTTAGCTGAAAACTTGACATCTCTCTAATATTTTCAGGTGAAAATTGACATCTCTCTAATATTTTCAGGTGAAAATTGACATCTCTCTAATATTTTCAGGTGAAAATTGACATCTCTCTAATATTTTCAGGTGAAAATTGACATCTCTCTAATATTTTCAGGTGAAAATTGACATCTCTCTAATATTTTCAGGTAAAAACCTAACATCTCACTAATATTTTCAGCTGAAAACTTTACATCTCCTTAATATGTCCAGCAAAGCACCCCCCCCCCCCACCCACCCCCCACCTTTTCCTCCCCACACCCACACAAAACCACATTTTCTTCTACATTTAATGTTATTATTTTCTAAAATTTTTAAATCTAATAAGATCTACTAAAGGTGTGTGCTCTTTTCTCTAAACTATCCACAATTTTTATCAAACGGGACAATTGAAGTGTTTAGTTTTTGGAGTACCAACGGGACGATGCAAAAACACTGAGAAAAAACGGGTCTAAACAGGTGAGAAGGGGACATATGGTCACCATAAACATGCAAGAAAGAACAGACATTATGAAACATTATAAGCATAATAACTCGCAACATGTTCGCCTGTCAGGAAGGGAGCTGTTGTGAATAGATAAAGTCATGATGGTAAAATTTATAATGGCGGACTGCCTGATGCATTCAATGACGTGTGTGCTACTGGCGTTGTCGAGACTGCAGCCTGGGTCAGTTTATCAGCTGTTTTCCACAACAGAAAGTGACAGACATTCTGAATGCTTTTTGTTGGCACATTTTCCCAATGTGTGGGTTTTGGGGCTCCATTGTAGGGGAAAGCAAGAAAAGACCCACTGCTTCCACTACAAGCATGTCGTAAGAGTCCAACAATTGGGTGCTTCCGTCGAAGTCGGATTAATTTATGTAATCATATTATTTTTTTCAAGTTGTCGGTTTCAAAGTCAATGTGCGTCTTTTACAAGGGGTCGTGTTATATTTGGGGAAATACAGTATAACTGACCAGTCATGTAATTAAAACAGAATGCAAACTTACGAAAACAATAGTGATTGGGATCTCCATAAAATTGATTCTCACAGTCTGCACACTTGGGTCCACCACGGCCAGGTAAACATACACACTGTCCTGTGAGCTGGATCGAGCAAAGGAATACATATCAATCAATCAATCAATCAATCAATGACCAGGTCATTTACAGAACATCGTTCTCATCACAGCATGCCTGATAGTATCTCATTCCCTAGCCAATTCTGAGGCCCTATGTGCTTTTATAGCCAATGCATAGTCAACGTCTTGCATCCACTTCGCCGAGGTTTGCCTCTGCCCAGTTTCCCGCAGACTGTACCTCTGTACTTTAAAACAGGGACAAAATAGTTTAGCTGGTCCCAAACAGCTCTGGGACACACCAGAGTTGCCATCAGTCCAAGCACAAGATGGTTTTGTAATCTTACCTGCTCAAGATGCTGTATACATTATATCCCAACACTTGTAACTACAAACTATGTCTTCACCGTTGTAACTATCAAATATGTCTGAACAATAAATTTTGTAATAACAAATTAAGTAGCAAGGATAAGTGTAATATTTGTAATACCAATTTAATATTCATTAGTTCATCATGCGATTATATATTCTGCATTATGTTTTCTCATCAAGTGATCGCTGTATGAGAATTTTAGACTTAACACTTAGCATTATATTCAGCCGAAAGGAAGTCGCGGTAACAATGATGGTGGTAGTAGTAGTAGATGTAGCAGCAGCAGCAGCAGTAGTAGTAATAGTTGTAGTGGTCGTAGTACTAGTGATAGTAGTAGTACTAGTAATAGAAGTAGTAGTACTAGTAATAGTAGTAGTAATAATAGTAGTAGTTGTCGTAGTAGCTTTAGTAGCAGTAGCAGCAGCATAATTATTTTATTATTAATATTATTATTAATATTGGTAATAGTTGTCGTTTTTGTTACTGTTGTTTCTGCTGTTGTACAACCCGCAACTCATGAATAAAACACTAAGAAAGTAGAAAAAAAAAAAAAAGAAGAAGAAGAGGTGGAGGCGGAGAAGAAGGAGATTGGAGAAGAAGAAGCCGGAGGAGGTGTTGTAGGAGGGGGAATAATAATAATAATAATAATAATAATAATAATAATAATAATAATAATAATAATAATAATAATAATAAGAAGAAGAAGAAGAAGAAGAAGAAGAAGAAGGAGGAGGAGGAAGAAAAATAAGGAAGGAGAAGATGAAAGAAAGAAAGTCATAAAGAAAGGAAGGAATGAAGAACAAACAGCTAACATAAACCGGAAGAAAAATCTCAATAAAAACAGCATGAAAGACGATTCTCACCTGGTTACACTGAGGGGCCGCGGATCCACGGGGGTCGCAGCTACAAGGGGTGCACCCCTTCCTGCTAGCAATATTCCAGTAGGACAAAGCGCACTGGTCACAGCGCTGACCCACAACGTTAGGGAGGCATGGACACTGTCCAGTGACACGATCGCAGTCGCCTGCTTCTGTACCCAGCTGGTGGCACACACAACCTGGCATGATTGTATTGGCAATAACACAGGAGACATCACTCAAGGCATAGTTTATGTGGGAAGCCGCCATGGTGTAGCGGCTAGGTGCTAGATATTTCGAAGGTCGTGGATTCAGGTTCTAGCGGAACGTACTTTTCTTTTTTAAATGACTTTGGCTCCCCGGTCGACCCAACCTTAAATGGGTACCAGATAAAGTCTTGGGAAGTAAAGGCGGCCGGCGTGATATTGACCACATTACCCTCCAGGTGACGATGGCCTGTAAAACACAGGTCTAACCCTATATGCCTAAAACGCCTGAAGGCGTAATAAAGAGTCCTTCACTTTACACTGTTTCTTTCTGCCGTCAATTAGAATAAGAAATCTATAATTAGAAGGGAGTCATAAACAAGAGTCAGGCTTTTTTCTATGTATTTCTATTCATTCATTCATTCATTACCCTGCTGTACTATTGTGTGTCATACAGCGCTCGCAGTCTATTCCTCTATTCCATTCTATCCTCTGCAATCAGTTCAATATCGTAGATGGAATCTAGTCCAGCAGCTTTGGCCTCTCTCACCGACGTTCGTCTTTGGGTTTCTTTTGGGCGTCCTCGCTTTCTTAATCCCTCCCCCCCCCCCCCATTTTAATGCCTGCTTAGTGAATCTCTGCTGGTTTCCTCTCGGGATGTGTCCAATGTAACGCCATCTTGTCAGTTTTATAAATGTTGATACGAGTTGTTGCCCAGACATTTCTCATCTTTCTTCACTCCTTTTTAATTCACCCTATTTTCTTGTCATCACTTTCCTCAGACATTTGTTTGTATCTATATAGATGTTATCAAACACACACGCGCACGCATGCACGCACGCGCCCACACACACACACCCGCACACACACACGCACACACTACTATTGCTGCTGTTGCTGCTACTACTTTTGCTGTTGATGCTGCTACTACTAATGCTGATGTTGCTCCTGCTGCTACTACTAAAATTGCTGATGCTACTATTACTGCTACTACTGCTGGTTCTACTACATTCTTATAGCCCTAATAAAAATACACAACGCGCGACTTCCACACTAATATTAATGTGTTTCCCCATTGTAAATTAAAGCCACCAGAATGTCTTTCTATTTACACGGTAAAGGGATACCACTGCATTCGTAATTTCTTTTGCAGACTTAGAAAATGCCTCGGATAGGAAGGTGGAAAAGGGAAACCTCCACGTCAAAATGCTAAGAGAGAGCTAAGCTACACACTCAAGGAATAGGTTAGCGATATTTCATGTCATGAAAATATTGAAAATATAGTAAACTATTGTCTTGACTTACGAGCGCAGTTCTGTTTGGTTGCGTCGCCATAGTAACCTCTTTTGCAGTGCTCACATGCAAAACCTTCCGTGTTGAACTGGCACTTGAGGCACTGTCCCGTAGATGTGTCACAGCTGCCGGGCGTGTCCGGGTTGATGTTGTTGTTGCAGGCACAGGGTTGGCACTGGCTGCCCATCAGTGTCGGCAACCCGAAGTAGTTGTCCGCACAGGTATTACAGGAGTGACCTTAATGACGTGTGTAAAGTTTTAGCGCATTAAACAACAATAATAAAACTGTAACGTAGTAAAAGAATAAGATAATTAGGAACAAAAGAGTCACAGAAGTATTGCATCAGCAGCTATTTAAGGTTATACAGCTTGGCCTATCCTTATTTAAAGGCGAACACAGAAGAAGAAGAAGAAGAAGAAGAAGAAGAAGAAGAAGAAGAAGAAGAAGAAGAAGAAGAAGAAGAAGAAGAAGAAGAAGAAGAAGAAGAAGAAGAAGAAGAAGAAGAAGAAAAGGAAAAAGAAGAAGAAGAAGATGATGATGAAGAAGAAGACGAAAAAATAATAATTATAATAATAATAAGGAGACGAATAATAATAATAATAATAATAATAATAATAATAATAATAATAATAATAATAATAATAAGAAGAAGAAGAAGAAGAAGAAGAAGAAGAAGAAGAAGAAGAAGAAGAAAAAGAAAAGAAGAAGAAGGAATAATAGTAATAATAATAATAAGAAGAAGAAGAGGAAGAAGAAGAGAATGAAGAAGAAGAAGTAGAAGAAAAAAATTAAATAGAAGAAGAGGAAGAAAAAAGAAGAAGAAGAAGAAGAAGAAGAAGAAGAAGAAGAAGAAGAAGAAGAAGAAGAAGAAGAAGAAGAAGAAGAAGAAGAAAAAAAAAGAAGAAAAGCAACACAACAGCAACAACAACAATAACAACAACACCAATGACAAATTGTCTTTAGAAGACAGAAGAAAAATAGGACAGAAATGAAATATCTACTTTTTATGCTAGGTGTAACAAGGAATGGTCGAATGAGGAACGATAACACCACGAGAAGAATCTTCACAGCACTGGAATTGAGCTTTATCGGTAGACAACAGATCAAATGGTTTGGCCATGTAACAAGACTGCTAGCAGACAGGGCACCATAGAGAGTAGTGTTGTACAGATACAGCCGTAACAAAAGCTGCGGTCGACCACTTAGAATACAGACCGCGTAAATATCAGAGACACTGGAAAGTATTATTTCCTAAGCGAACAGAAGTACTACTTCCAGAGATCTCTTCCCGCCCTGACGTTGCGTACGAGGCTTTCCATGATTAGAGGAAAGAAGAAAGAGGAAAGAGGAGAAGATAAACACCCAAAGGAGATTATTATTGCCAGACTTACCTGAGTATCCAGGCTTACAATGACACTGCACGTCATCTGTGCTGGGGTTCCAAGTACAGGTGTCTGCATGCTGGGTGACGCTGTTGGGTCCTCCAGGACATAAACATGGCCGGCAGGAAATGTTCATAGAAGCCCTGGGGTCGCCATAATATCCTAACAGACACCTGAATGACACAAATTTGAATCAAGGCTTTGGTAGCGCGGTCGTACATTAAAAACATTTGACCTATTAGGGTCGTGGAGATGTATCGATAGAAGCACTAGAGTTTAGTCATCTTTGCAATTGCTGGTCTAAAGCCCCTATGCAAAAGGAGGAGGGCTTGTGCGTGAGACCTGCTCCCTCACCACAAGATTATTTTTTATAGCTAGAGACTCGCAGAAAAAGGATGCCATCCCAGTCAGCGAAAATAAAAAAAGAAAAGGTGGTTGTGTGGTGCAATGGGTGCATCAATGACAGTTACTGAACGGACGAACGAAAGAATTCATTTTTTTTTTTCAAAAGGTTAAGGACTTGGCACGCTGGCCGGTCTAACATTCTGCCCTTCCACTCCAATCCTTGCATACATTTATTTATTTGTAAATCATTTCTGGAGTGGTAATAGCATAAGATTTTTATATAGGTACAACAGTCGCTTCCATTATTATTCGTTATTAAACGCACTATCCTTCTTTGGAGTGCTTTCAGTCGTTTGATAACTGAATTTGCACACCTATCCCATATTGTTTAGAAATAGTCTATGTGGGTCTGAATATAAGAGGTATAGAATAATTCCCTAGTGTTTTCATCCATAATTTTTATTTTTATTTTAGCTAGTTGGTATACTATTTTTAACTATTTGTTTAACAAGCGTTTGCACGTGGGAGTTGAAAGTATGATTTCCATCGATGATCAGGCCTAACGTTTTGTGCTCAGTTATACTTTGCCCTGAAGTGTTGCCGACGTAGAGTTGAAGGGTTTTATGCGAATTTAAAGTGTAAAGTTTTTGTCTCGTTGTTATTAACATAGATTTGATCTTACTTGTTATGTTGATCTGCATGCTGTTTGCATAGCTCTAATTAACTATATTGTTTAATTCTTGTAGCAAAAACAACTCTACTACAAATGTAAGCACTTGCATAGATGGTACAGTCTTCAGCGAATAAATCGAACTGATGGAAAAAGAGGCAATTGATACAATCATGAGAAACGAACAAGCTGGTTTTCGAACTGGAAGAAGTTGTCTGGATAAAATAATTACCCTCGGACTAATTCTAAAAGAACACACGGAGAAGGAAGCAGCAACCTCTCATCCTGAATTGTATTGATTTCAAAAAGGCGTTTCACAGCTTATACAGAATTTCCCTATTGTGAATCTTAGAAAGCTACGAAAGCTACGGTATACCCGCTAAAATAAAAGGCATTATTAGAAATTTATTCGATGGTTCAGAATGTACAGTGTCCACTGAAAAATGGTATAATGACTATTTTTTGGTGGAAGCTGAAGTTAAACAGGGCTGCATTCTATCGCCCTCGATGTTTATAAGTAGCCATTGGCTGGGTAATGAAAACAAAATGTTGCTCGGGAAATGCTGCCAGTGATTGGTTGGAGAATTGACAACTGGAAGAACTGGATGAAAATGTTCTGTTTGGTTAAAAAGAAAGGCAGGAACAAAAACAGATGATTTGTGTTTCGCAGCATCAAGGGGAAAAAAAGGACTACAAATAAGTTATGAGAAAAGATATGTAATAAAGATACCAACAATAGGTCGTGTAGATTTCATGCTAGAGAAGAGACCAATAAAATTAACGGACCATTTTACCCATTTGGGTGGCAATTTTGACTGCAAAGGAAATACAACTAATGAAATTATGACACACATAGACAGTCTTTAAAAGCCTTAACAAAATATGAAGCTAAAAGTTAGACAGCTTTAAGATCAAACTAAGATTAATGATTTCTAAGGTTTTTTTTTTAAATTCTAACACATTCCAGTGACAGTTTGAGAACCACCCAAGATATGGAAGGCAAGTTAAATGCATTTGAAAATACATGTCTAAGAAAAATTATCAACATAAAATTGGATGTTTTCAAAAAAGAGTAAGGAGACAAATATCTAGACAAATACTTGTATCGACTGCAATAAGACAAAGAAGGTGGAGATATACTGGGCGCACATTGAGATGAAATAATCAAAGAATTACAGAAGAGGCAACTCAAACAGGAAACAAACGATCTGAGAAAAAAAAAGAGGAACTGAATGGTGACCTTTAGGAAAAACATTATTACGAGAGTCAAAAAATGTTAGTATGAACTTCATGTCAGAAATCGAGAAAGTTGCATGCAACATAGAAGAGTGGAGGAAAAGATTACGAGCTCTATGTGACGTTTTACGGACAATAAACTTATATGTAATCCTAACTGAAACAGCAAACAAAGCTATCCTCTAAAACAAAAACAGATTTAGCCACATTTGAAACAGCTAATACAAGCGAGAACAAGCAAGCAGAAACTGGCTGCGGGAAAAGTGAGACAATATACTACTGTTTACTGCTAATGCTAATTGGAACGAGAGCACTGAGATGGCTGCTGCATTAGAGGACCGACCACGTATGGGTTAGGATCGACGTGCTAGGGTCTCAATATGGGTAGTTAGTCCACAGATTATCCCCATCTGACCATTTAGTCCATAAGTGCTAAGATCCCCTCCTCAGTAAATCCCGCAGCTTGTAGCGGCTCACGACACCAATTCTGTGTTGGTTTATTCTTCTTCTTTGGCTACCTGCGTAGTGCTCTTGTCTGGCCGTACCCTTTAAACATGCTGTTTCTTGCACTCTGGTCATTGTTGAAGATTCATTGTCATCACCTGTTTCTCGCAAACGTTTTACTTCTCGTAGAGCATTAAGAATATCAGCATGATCCTAGGCTCTTCTGCCCTCACAGTAGCTTTACCTGCAAACCCATCAGCTTGCTCATTCCCTTGCACGCCTGCATGCTCTGGCACAAATATTAAACTAATATGTGTTACCCCAGCAGCTTTAGAGACTCGAATCACTGTATTCAGATCCAGTCCTTCTTTATTGTCCTGAGTATACACATTGAGTGACTGAAAAAACATGAGCGGGAAAAGGTCTGTGTATCCAGCCATGCTTTCGATACGGATAACAAGTAAAACATACAAACCTACAAAAGTACCCACCTCTCACAAGAAACGCCGCTGGTAAAGCCTTTACATCCAATGCAAGCTCCTGTCAGTTGATCACATCTGTCAGCATTTGAATTACATTGACATGGGCGGCACTGAGGAAAGCCCCAAAATCCAGGGTGGCACTGGTCGCAGGTGCGGCCAGCCAAGTTCTGGGCACAGGTACACTGACCAGTCTGCTCGTTGCAGAATGTGTCCCTGGCTCCGAACTCATGACAATTGCACGCTGTAAGATCGTTGAACACAATAGAACATAGTGCAAATACTTCGAATTGGTGCAATTAATTGATTTGAGTTAGAATTAGTTGTACTAACATATGCTTGCTCAGTAGTGCAATTAATACAAAGCCAACATCAGGTACTACCATTCGAGGCTGGATCTCTGCTGGATCAGATGGATCAACTGACCAAGCAGATAACTCCTCAGTGGATCCTAAGCCACCGCTATGTTACGAGAAATGAGTGAGCATACTTCTTTTAAAAAACTAGGAGCAATACAAAACGGTCAGATACAGGGTGCGTCGATGAGGTGGCTAAAATTCAGATCAAAGCAGCCATTAGAGCCCATTTGAGAACTTCCCACCCTGAAGACAGCCCTGAAGATACTTGCAGCCTCCTCGCATGAAATCAACAGACTATTGTATTTTGTTCGTGAACTGGACACAGAAAAGTCTGCAGCATTCGTACATGACATCAAAAATTAAGGACTCAGAACAATTCCCATGTGGACAGGGACCCCCAGAATACTCAACATGTGTTGCAAATAGGTTATCTACATGCAGCAGAGTAGGGTTGTTCATCTAAGTTTACTCAGGGTTCTCAGAGTTTTGAAAATGCGGATCGTCACGAGTCAGAGGCTCGAGCCCGAACCAAAAAAAAAAAAAAATCATGAATAAGTTACAACTTGCAATGATCTGCAGACCATTTGCTTGATTATTTGAATAACGCTGCAGTAGAGTGATCTCAGATCTGGCCTGTGAGCATTACAGGAAAAACCCAGCGGTATTGGTCAGTGGCGGACACGCCTCGCACCACAGCCTTCATGTGACCTTTTTATCTGAAAACTACTGGCAGTGAGAATGAAAGGAAGTAATGTGATTATACAATTTATATTATGATTTGTAAATTATCTAAAGCAAGGGTAGACAACCTTTTGTTTGGTCCGCGGGCCAAATTTAGAATGACCAACTTGGTTACGGTGCCAAATAGAAAAAAAAATTATATTATAAACATCACAGCTAATTTCTTCGAAACAGGATATTTTTGTGGGATAAACGCACGATCCCGTCCTCAGACAAACCCATGTCAAGAAAGGTTACCACTCTTCTGGTCTATAAACGTTGCGACTCTATAAACTCGCGACGAGAGAAGAAAAAAGGTGAGTCGTTGCCTTATATTTGATTATCAACGATCCGCCGACAGAGGCTGTCTTCTAATGTCTGAGTTTGTCCGCAGCACGTTTTTCACTAGCATGATCAATGATTTGCGACATTAATTTCTGGTTATCACTGTTTAGATTATAACTTCTTCATAGAAACGATTTTTTGCTCTTGTTCGTTAGCTCAGTCGATAAGAGGCTCGCTTTCAAATCCAGTTGCGACTCGCTGCAGTCACGGTCGTGTTCGAAACCGGGCGGTTCCCGGGGTTCACGCAGCCTCTAGGAAATGGGTACCGGAGTTGATACTATGGGGTAATGGAGGAACGTCGCTGTAGCTACAGAGTTACGTGCGGACGACGACATCAGGCGGACAATTCTTATCAGCTGTCCGTACTGGTGGCAGAGCACTTATGGTTTATAACCGTGTGCAATGACGCTCGTTCACATCTCCCAAAACTTTTTATCTGTTACTAAGCTCCGGGGGAAGATTATGTGGTACTTTCACACTGACTTCCCCGGCCAGTAAAAACTGCACGGCAGTTGTGGGCCCTAGTTTGCCCAAACCTTGTTTACAAGTTTCAGGGATGTGCTCTATGGAAGAACGTTGAGGACACGAACAAATAATGGCGTTTTGGAGAAATTTTATCATTAGCAGTACATAATTTCTTATTTTTTGGCCCCATCAAGAGGATCACTATCCCCGTGTGGGTTCTGGGGTCCCGTAAAAGTAAAGGATCATTTTCCACGCTTTTAGGCGTATTGGGTATATAAGGCTAGACCTATATTTTATAGACCAAACGGCACTTGGTGGGTGATATGGTCAGCACCATACCAGCCGACTTTACTTTCCAGGACTGTACCTGGTACCCACTCAAGGCTGGTTCGACCTGGGAGTTAGGTTCATTTTTGTAAAAACGTTCGGCCACTGTCAGGACGCGAACCCACGACTTTCCAATCCACAGGGGAGCATCTAGCCGCTGGACCACAGCGGCTCCATGTGTCCCATTGTGATTAAATTAAATGCCCGTTGACACTAACTCGATTGCGTGACCAGGGGTATATCTTGATGAAGCACGTCTATGCTGTCTTTGAGGTCAAGACATGAGACACTATAAAAAATAATTATCATTAGAACAATAAGTAGAGATACCTTGCAGTGGCTGCTGCATCAGAGGAATGGTCAGGCAAGGAAATGCCCAAAGTGCGGTTATCGATTGTGATAACAAAGCATAATAAGACAAGCATTTACTCACGTGCATTCTGACTTATTAGCTTCCGATAAAGCCACGTTTGTTTGTAAAATCTGGCAACTTTTAAATTCACTATAAAAGTAAACTAGGGGATCCTTTTCCACGCCTTTAGGTGTACGTGGCATTTAGGACTAGACCTATTTGTTTGTATTGACCTATTGGCAGTTGGTGGCTAATGTGGTCAAAATCACGCCGGCCGCCTTTCCGGAGACTTTACCTAGTAACCAGGTTGGATCGACCTGGGAGCCAAGGTCATTTCTGAAAGTTAAAAAAGAAAAATGTCCGACATCGTAATCGACAGGACTTGGATCCACGACCTTCCGATGCGCAGGCGAGCATCTAGCAGCTACATCACTGCCGCTCCCTTTCAGTCATTGACACTGATATACTTTTCACACTGCCAAGAATTTTTTTAACTTGAACTGTCAAAATATCTTACGTGAGCAGCCTAGAGGTCCAAATCCGAAGGTGCCAGGAGCGCACTGGTCGCAGCGACGACCTACAACGTTTGGCCGACATTGACACTGTCCACCGCTGGGGTTACACTCGAGGCTGACGGAACCCACACGGTCACAGTCGCAGTCTGTGGAGAATAACACAGCATGGGAGAGGGAATACTTGTGAGGCATGGAAGAGATAACACATGTGAGGCATGGAAGAGATAACACATGTGAGGCATGGTAGACATAATACATGTGAGGCATGCAAGAGATAACACATGTGAGGCATGGGAGAGATAAGACATGTGAGGCATGGAAGAGATAAGACATGTGAGGCATGGGAGAGATAAGACATGTGAGGCATGGGAGAGATAACACATTTGATGCATGGAAGAGATAACACATGTGAGACATGGAAGAGATAAGACATGTGAGGCATGGGAGAGATAACACATGTGGGGCATGGAAGAAATAAGACATGCGAGGCATGGAAGAGATAATACATTTGAGGTATGGGAGAGATAACACATGTGAGCCATTGAATACATAATACATGTGAGCCATTGAAGACATAACACATGTGAGCCATTGAAGAGATAACACATGTGAGCCATTGAAGACATAACACATGTTAGGCATAGGACAGATAGTACATTTAAGGCGTCGGAGAGGGGACACATGTGAGGCATGGTATAGGCGATATATGTGCGGCATGGTATAGGCGATATATGTGAGGTATGGGAGAGACAATACACGAGAAAGTTAGGAACCCACCCACATTAGACTTGTCACGAAACGATCTCAGTGATTCCAGAAGTTAGTACTTGTAATAAGTTCTTCTGGTGATTGAGAGACAAGAGACTATGCCCTTTACCCTAATATTACTTTAAACCAAAGTGATTTAAATGTTACCAGCCCTTCTCCCAGACAAAGCCACCGCGCTTTGTTTAAAATTACCTAACACTACGTAATACAGCCCGCTGGTTCAGACTAGGGATGTGAGGTTGGATTCTCACGCTAGTGTCAGAATGTTATCTCCTGACCAGACTGTAGAGACTGAGCGGGGCCCTTTTGAACAGGGAAATTGAGTAGACGCTAGACATTGTGGAGCCGGGAGGTCGGAGTTTAACACGTCAGTGTAATTCTGGAGAGAACAGGTGTTTGGCAATTAGGAATGTTTTATCTTGATCTTGGTCACGTAGGAAACACAATGGCTTCACTGACCGTCTTTCACACCGGCCAGTTAGATCGGTGTAAACTAGATTGGGGCACTTAAGAATGTTTGCTCTAGGGATGTCAGTCCAGAATTTGACTGACAGGCCACTTGTTAGCTAATGTGATCTGTTGGGTACTCCGGAGGCGTGGCTTATGTCATCATCTTGAGGGTTGGGCAGAACTCAGGAAAGGGAGGAGTTTAATTTGGACAATAGATTGATACTTATACTTCGAGCCTGTGTGAATTCCCGTCATTAATCGCAGCCTGCCGGCAAACAACACAGATCGACGTGAAGGTAATTTTACGGTCGCATTTCTGTTTTGGCGATTAATGGGAAGTTCCCAGGTAAGAGAAAATATTAATTTTAATCTGGTATACATAGGTTAGGGAGTTAAGCTTAGTCTATACTACTTTTCCTAATTTGTCTGCACAATTCTGCTTGAAATAGTCTGTGTAAGTATTCAGTATCTCAGTTAGGGAACTGCTAAACTATTCCTATTTCTTGTATGTTTGTGTCACAATTTTTTCATTGTATGTTTTCATGTGTATAAAATAAGATGTGAACAATGACATTTGCTATAATGAAATGTAATTATATTGTTTTCAACGATCAGCCAAAATATGAGTTTGGGACTGTGGGAAATGATGCCCAAATATGTGCAGGGATGCTGCTACGTTTTTTTGTGTGCCCACCATGTGCTCACTTAATGTGTTCACCTAAACAGGGGATTTATAACCCCAGGGGAAGAATGATTGGGTGTATAGAATTCACGGTCACTGAAAGATAATATTCAGGAGCCGTGCACATATATATATGTTTGAGTTTTCAGCACATAACCTTCTCCACGTGGTCATGTAATATCAATGTATTTGAAAGTCTGAGTGAATGACGGACAACAGAGACTTAGAAGTCAACCATGGGATGAAGTGGAGAATAAGCTGAAACAGGCAGACAACAGGCAAGGAAGAGTGTGGACAGGCTTGACAGTTCCTGGGAACACGGCTGTCAGAGGCTTATAAGTTGAGTTAACCCCTTTATGTTAACCTATTATCATCATTATCATACCACTCTAACCCCCGAGCTGTTTTTCTCGCTGAAGCTTACCACCATCATCAAGTTAACCAGTCACTGTTTGTGTAAATCAACAAACTGGGAATTTCATTGTAGTAAATAAAGCTGTATGTCAAGTTTTAAACTACATAGTTTGTTAAATTCCAAATGTCTGTTCTTACATGGTTAATTAAACTGTTAAGATAGAATACCATTTGGTGGGGGCTCAAATAATATAATAATTCTTTAATTATTAATAATAACACCGGGAGAAGGTAGATGACGGAGGAATCATTTGCCCTGTCTAATAATTCATTATACTAAAATGCTATAGACATCTAAAATTCCTTGCCTTCTCTTGTGGGTACCAAGTGCAGCTAATGTTAAAGTACTTAACGAGCCAATATAGTTGTTTTCTTGGGTATCCAGGACTTAATCTGAGAGCAACATAGCTCAGATTTTAGTTCGGTTAATCTGGTGGGAAGAAATGTGTTGAGAGGAACATCCCTACTCAACAACATAAACATTTAAACCACCCGTCACGTCACAAGACTCCAGCTTACTCTGTAACCGTCAGATGCCATGTGTGCCCTTTAAGTTTCCATAAATTAGGGGAAAAACTTTTTGAAAATAAGAAAACCATTTGAATTTATATAATATGCTCTACATGACCACCATCGTTTGAAAGCAGATTTTAGAACCTGTTTTCCACTTCTGAAGAATACGTATAATACAGCTGTCGTTATGTTTGTAATAGCATATGTGATATGTGCGTCCCCCCCTCCTCCCCCTCCATATGTACGCAGCCTTTTGAGACACTATGTGGTATACTGTTATTTAGGCAATAATTGTGAAAGTCATTAACTAAAAAAAAAAAAAAAATTCTGAAAAATATGGAACTCTTAATTGTATAGTTTTATTAGTAGTGTATTTTCCAACAGCCAGGGGCTGCTAGGGTTGGTTCTACAACGTCCTGTAAAAGATACGCAACTAACCTAACCTAACCTAGGTGTATTTTCAGTTATTTTAGTTTTAACATTTGCCATTTAAAGTTGCAGAGCCATTAAAAGTGAAAGTAAACTTTAAAGAAACACTAAAAACATAGAATGAAAACAAACGCCTTGGGCAAATTATGAACATTTAATATGATAAATTCAAAAGGGGTGAAGAGATCAGAGCAATGCCTGGACAACCACTGGTAACAACACAATCATCGTCCTCAAACTTGCATGTCGTCGTCAACATGGCGTGTTGCTGACTGATCAGCTCCTTCTACTTGTGACGGTCAGATGGTTGCATGCCTAATGTCTGTCCAATCATTCAAGTTCTGTACAGGGTTTTTCTTGGTCTGTCTCCTTCCCTCTAGTGAGCCCTTTAGTATTGTTTTTGATAGGCCGTTAGATTTTAAAAATCCGCACCACTGCATTTCCCGTCTTTTCTCTGTAGTTTAAACTCAGTTTAATTGCTAATGTGCTGGGTGAGCCTTGCCATTTGTAAAATGGTCTCTGTATATGCCAGTAATTTTTCTGAATGATTTGTTGTATATTGCTTGTATCTTTTTAAATTTATAGCGTTAAAAACTCACCAGACCCAAACGAATGCACTCCACATGTGTTCACTACACACTTAAGAACCAGAAAGGAAGTTTAAATTGAGCTGTTCGCGTGTAATTACCGATAAGTGGTAAATTAAAACCTTCACTTGTTACGCGTCCATTGGTCCGTCAGATAGTAGCCAATTTGCGCGTGATGCGTTTCCTGGGACTCAAAGAGTTAAGGTCCACGCTTTAGACCTGTATGCAAACGTAGTAATAACTAGTGCTCTGGGCAGTCCTAGCTTAGTTTTACAACCAATCAGCAGGTCCTTTACAGAAAGCCGCTCTCTCCACATTCGCAATGGCCGCCTCTGCCTCTTTTCCCGAAAACTGTACCCTCCATTGCCGCTCTTTCCAGATCACCATGACCGTGGACAAGGCCCATATACCTCAGCTATCGCGAGATTATGCTTTTTATGAGCCAATTCTCTTGGATGCTCAGGCCATGCAGAATGTCGACGTTGCTCTTCTTCTTGACCCAGGGTATTGTAAGCTTTTTTTCTGTAGCATTTCAGTTCAAAAGCTCCGATGTTTCTTCTTCAAAGACTCAGCGAGAGTCCATGAGTGATATCCATAAGCTTGTATGGGAAGATGCATGATCTCTAAATGTTCACTTTAACTTGCTCGCAGGTGCTATACCAGAGGCCCTTCACGCTTTTTAGCCAGCGTGTTGCTAAGGCAAGTCTGAGTAATGACTATATTATTATAAACATTTGTTGGAGTAGACAAAACATTTGTTGAAGCAGGTAAACATTTATTGAAGTAGATAAACATTTGTTGAATTAGATAAATGTTTGTTCAAGTAGATAAACATTTTTTGAAGCAGATAAATATTGGTTGAAGTAGATAAAATCTGTTGAAATAAGTAACAATTTTTTGAATAAGATAAACATTTGTTAAAGTAGTGACTGCTTGAGTTTAGAAAGACTAAGTATTGACTACCAGAGGTTAGAAAGAGTTATAATAACTGCACAAGAAAGTGAAAGCTCTGTATGTCTATGGGTTTACATGTTGTGTTTGCTTCATTACCAGTAACAACTCAAACAGATCTTACCCAGAACCCCGTTGTGCAGGACGGCAGAGATAGAGAAGATGTGTTTCTGGCACTTGTCCGGCAGCTCGGACTTTTGGACTGGGCGCTGTAAAACGTCGCACCGGCTATTTAGGAACTCGTTCTTTAGGTACTCTGGTAGTCCAGCACCTTGGTATATGGGAATGTAGTTTGGGTTCGGCATCAGAACGATCTGGAGAAACAAGTCCATTTGAGAAATAAATACATTCATCATTATTATCAACATCATCATCATCCCATAACATTACGCGTCGTTGTGTCACCAGTTTCTGTTGTCTGATCAGCTCCTTACACCTCTGTCTATAATATCAAGAAAAGAAATAAGACCGAACGAAAGGTATATAAGCAAGCTTCACAATATAACAAATACAAACAAAACGTGAACGTTGCGGCTATTGAGCCTTGATCAGCACATACAAATGAAACAGTAGTACACAGAAACACAAAATCACTTAGCTGGTATCTCGATGCAGCCGGGTCGGTTGTTTCTCACCTCTGTCTATAATGCAGTGGGCTTGATGGTTGCATGTTTGAGGTCTGTCCATTCAGTCAAATTATTTGTCCATGTATGTTTTGTTCTGACTGCTCTCTTCTTCGAATGTACAGAGCCCTGTAGTGTCATTTCCTTGAGAAGTTCTAGTCAATATGAGCAGGTATGATAGAAAGTTCTGGTTGTCTGTCCATTTCTGGACTTTAGTCTTGTTGCACAACTTGAGTTTTGTGTCTGCGGATATGGCCTATTATTAGGCAAGCAGATCTGGATTATTCTTATGCAGACTGTTGGTTTCTAGCCTCTCCGGCAAATGCTTTCTGACTCTGACGGAAACACCGTTAATTAGCTCACATTTAGGACATTCTGGTTAGGGGAGCAGTACACTATTCTTTTTGTGTGTGTTTCGAGCGCAATGGGCCATCAGAGCCGGGACTGTTCGAAAAAAATATATTTAATAACAGACAATAAAATTTATTCACAAATACATAAATGAACAGACACGTACAACAAGAAAAAATAAAGTACCCTTTGTGTTTACGTAGGTGGGCATCGGTTGTATGATACTAGGCTAGTGTGTTACAGACCAACCGACGGTAAATGGACGATGCAGTCAACATTACGTCGGCAGTCTTTACTTCACAGGACATTTCCCAGGGAGACTGGGAAAGAAAGGCTGCCTCTGATGTTGGCCAGATCACAAATGGAATGCTAGCTGGTGTATTAAAAATATGGTTTTTTCATCACCTGCTTGAAACGTCAATGGCGTCTAAAAAAACCTGCTTGAAACGTCAATGGCGTCTAAAAAAACCTGCTTGAAACGTCAATGGCGTCTAAAAAAACCTGCTTGAAACGTCAATGGCGGTTTCTCTTGAAAACGTTTATTTAAAAAAAATCTTGACCCGTCAATGGCGAAGGTGGTTTTTCACATGTAAATATAGTATCGAAGGTCACTCGATGGCTCCCTCGGTTCCGTGTATTATGTATGTCATTCCGTGTGCTATCGTATATGAATCAACATAATATACTTTATAGATAACATATAATTGCTGTGTCTTCTTAATTTCGTTCCTCCTGCTATTGGTATTTAGAACCCCCGTGTGGGTTCCGGGGCCCTATTGTAGGGAAAACAAGAATAGACCCACTGCCTCCACAAAAGCATGTCGTAAGAGTCATCTGACTGGGGAGCTTCCTTCATCTGATGAGAGGCAGGAACCAGCAAATTAAATCAGATCTGTAAAACTGATGCACACGCAACACTCAGGTTCTGGAGCAGGACTGCAGTCCAGAAGTGGACGAACAACCAGAACTTTACGCCAGAGTGTACAGCTGGTGAACGCGAAGAAGAAGGTATTTAGATGAGATGAGAAGGTCATATGGTTCTGTGAGTCGACGCATGTCTTTGACTGTTTCATACTGCTTATTTTCTATTCGAATACCGGCCGGCTGAACCTGGAATCTCTCCACTTCCTATAGAGAGCATGTCTGTAGCAAAGGTTCTGTATTCTGTGTGTTGCCTATCGACGTGGGCAAAGTTTCGAATCTCCAGTGTTCACTTTCTTGTGTGAAAGATAAATGGTTAGAAAGTCGGAATGTAAGACAGATCTTCCTGCCCAATTTATAACCCTTCAAAAATAAAGCCCTTTAGTTCGTTCTTTCATGACTTCTAAGTGGATGTTTTAAGATGAGTAGCTTTTTATGTTTCTAACATTTGCCACAGTGATCACACTTTTGGCCTACACTGTATGATGAACCAAAACAAGAGGAGATCACTCACAGAGTCAATGAACAGGGTAGCTTCAGGATGTCTGCGTCCAATGATGTAGCTGTGAAAGTCCAGCCGGATTGTGTAGGTGGTGTTGTTCTCAAAACATGTGGGGCGGGGCACCATCTGGTACCTGACACCTTGTTCACATCATAAAAATAAGTATAAAAACAACTTTCAAAGTAATGATAACAAGAACTAACAAAAAAGGTATAGAAATGATTGACCCAGGTGTTTTAGACATTTAAAAATAGTGGTAGGTGCAAAGCGACAAAATAATTATAGATACGGTCAACATAACAAATGTAAAACTAACTGACTGACACAAGCATATTTAAAAAAAAAATTATTATGGAAACATTTACAAATAAACTGAAAGAAAAATTATCAAACTAATTTTAAAAAAAAAAACACACACACACACGCGCACGCGCGCGCACACACACACACACAGACACACAGACACAGACGCACACACACACACATACACACACACACACAAACCAGCGGATAAATTCATTACTGACGGAACTTAAAAACTAATTACAGAAACAATAAGCCTATACGAGCTCAGTCCGTCCCTCAAGACGCTCTGACTGGCGGCACCAGTTCTCCGTTTGTTGGTGTACTATTCTTATTTTGCTTCCTGCATAACTCTCATACATTTTGTTGTTTAATACAGCCTGGTCAAGGCTGCCGATTCACATTCACCACTTGATTCTTTTAATGACCTCGTCTCTTTTTGTCGATATTCAAATCACAAGCGTGCGGCCCGTTTTCCCAAATAGACACAACAGCAAGCCTATCAGCCTGTTAATTTCCTCTAACACCGTGCAAGCCGTTGTACAGAGATTTTCGCCAGCCCTGCTCTTCACATAAACTTTAAAATTGTGATCTACTTATGCGAGTAAAAGAACTGTAACTACATTACCAGGCAAAAGAGAGACCGACTTCAGGTCTTCTCTGGGGTTAAAGTCACTGCACGGTCCGTCTTGTTTGACCTGGCTTGGTCTAATGACTGAGACACGGACATCTTTAAACACACCTGGCATCTGCAACAAGACATAAAGTTTTTGTTTTGTGTCTTTTAGCTTTCATTTGTTGTTGTTGACACCTTCGCATTTTGCCAGACAATATTATTATAATGTTCTTTGAGGAGCGTCGGCTCTGTGGCCAAGTCGATGCGAACGCTTCGTAATGCCGGGATGCCGGGTTCGATCCCAGCTGCGGGATCGTAAATTTGAACATAAATTTGCCTAGAAAAACCACATAACAGCCAGGGGTTCTTGGGGTTGGTTCTGCAAAGTCTTGTAAAGGATACGCAACTTACCAATCTATGAGGAGGCGTAAGAATCGCAGCCCATGGCGATGGCGAGTGTGACTAGCAAGACCCGCCCGTGTTAGGAAGTCTTTCACAAAATGGGATTTCAGGTCCGTTGTTGACATCGTATGTATTTAATGTGTTTCTTCTCAGACGTTCAGCTCTAATCTTTTCTAAAGTCTCTTATTTTCCTTTATTTCCATTCCTTCTCTGATTTTCCCTCACCACGTAAAATCGCCTTTGTCAGTGGTTACTCAACATGGTCTTTGGCAGTGGCCACTTAACACGGTCTGTGGCAGTGGTCACTCAACACGGTCTATGGCAGTGGTCACTCAACACGGTCTATGGCAGTAGTCACTCAACTCGGTCTATGGCAGTGGTCACTCAACACGGTCTATGGCAGTGGTCACTCAACACGGTCTATGGCAGTAGACACTCAATACGGTCTATGCCAGAGGTCACTCAAAACGGTCTATGACAGTGGTCACTAAACACGTTCTATGCCAGATGTAACTCAACACTGTCTTTGGCAGTGGTCACTCAACATGGTCTGTTGCAGTGGTCACTCATCATGGTCTATGGCAGTGGTCACTGAACACGGTCTATGGCAGTGGTCACTCAACACGGTCTATGGCAGTAGACATTCAATAGGTCTATGCCAGATGTAACTCAACACTGTCTTTGGCAGTGGTCACTCAACACGGTCTATGGCAGTGGTCACTCAACACGGTCTATGACAGTGGTCACTCAACACGGTCTATGACAGTGGTCACTCAACACAGTCTATGCCAGAGGTCACTCAACACGGTCTATGGCAATGGTCACTCAACACGGTCTATGCCAGTGGTCACTCAACACGGTCTATGCCAGAGGTCACTCAACACGGTCTATGCCAGAGGTCACTCAACACGGTCTATGCCAGTGGTCACTCAACACGGTCTATGCCAGTGGTCACTCAACACGGTCTATGCCAGAGGTCACTCAACACGGTCTATGACAGTAGTCACTCAACACGGTCTATGACAGTGGTCACTCAACACGGTCTATGGCAGTGGTCACTCAACACGGTCTATGACAGTGGTCACTCAATACGGTCTATGACAGTGGTCACTCAACACGGTCTATGCCAGAGGTCACTCAACACGGTCTATGCCAGTGGTCACTCAACACGGTCTATGCCAGTGGTCACTCAACACGGTCTATGCCAGTGGTCACTCAACACGGTCTATGCCAGTGGTCACTCAACAGGTCTATGGCAGTGGTCACTCAACACGGTCTATGCCAGAGGTCACTCAACACGGTCTATGACAGTGGTCACTCAACACGGTTTATGCCAGATGTAACTCAACACTGTCTTTGGCAGTGGTCACTCAACATGGTCTATGGCAGTGGTCACTCATCATGGTCTATGGCAGTGGTCAATGAACACGGTCTATGGTAGTGGTCACTCAACACGGTCTATGGCAGTAGACACTCAACACGGTCTATGGCAGTGGACACTCAACACGGCCTATGGAATTGGTCACTCATCATGGTCTATGACAGTGGTCACTCATCACGGTCTGTAGCAGTGGTCACTCAACACAGTCTATGGCAGTGGCCACAACACGGTCTGTGGCAGTGGTCACTCAACACTGTCTTTGGCAGTGGCACCCTACCATGAAATGCGAGATAAATAGGTACATAATTCATAGTGTCAAATAAGAAAAGAAACAATCAGCAACAACTGGTTATTCAGTGTCGAAATTTCAATGTGATTGCTGACACTGTTTTGTCTTGACCATACGTTCTATCTTTCGTATGATGTTGGACAAGGCACAAGGGAGATCAGTCTCCACATGTACCCCACCAGGCCATCACACAAGCAATAAACACCCGATGACACAAAGTGCCACTATGCAGGTGAGGATCATCCGTGGATAGGTCCCAGAAACTCCTTTAAGCTGTTATGGCCACATTTGTGGCCCAGCTATATTTAGGGCTTGCGGTAAAAGCCAGAGTGGAGCTTCAAATAACGAAAAATTGCATCCCACATGGGAAACGACATCGATTGATTTAAGCTGGCAGCGTATGTTTTGTTTTTGTGTGACTGCTAAAGCTGAAAATCCGGATTATGACAAATACCGATGTCATCATCATTATCATCAGGTGTCTTGCCGACTGGTGTCGGCGATCATGCCTCTCCATAATCTGCGACCTCCTGCAGCATGTATCAGCTCGTTTGCCGACACACCTCCATGCCATGCAACAAGACTGTCAAGCATCTTCTCTCGTTGTCTTCCTGTATCCCTCCTTCCACAGATTTTTCCAGTGGTCACCACATGTTCTATTTTTCCTTTTCTCATAACATGGCCGAAAAATACAGATGTACACAATTTTAAAAATGCTTGACGGCCACCTTTTTTTCTCGAGCTCCTGAACGTGTGTGTTTGTGTGTTGGGAAGGGGGTTGGGGGGGGGGGGGGGGTTGGGCTGGGCTGGGCTTGAAAAGGAGGGGAGGGGTGTAGAGAGAAACAAGTTGGAGACCACTGGTCTATGGCATTTTTAGAATTCCTTTATTCGTGATTAAACGACCATTTTACACAAGTATCAAAGGGAATGTATAGTGATAGGCGGATAGTTGCAGGGAAGCCGCCTTCGTCAACCGGCTAAACGCTAGCCTGCGGATCAAAAGGTCTGGTTTCGATTCCTCAGTGGCTAGACTTTTTTTCAGAAATGGCATTGGCATCCAAGTCGACACAGCCTTGAGTGGGTACCATGTACAGTCTTGGGAAATAGAGGCGGCTGGCGTTATGCTGACCCCAGCACCCACCAAGTGCCGTTTGGTCTATAAAATATAAGTCTAGCCCTTTATACCCAATATGCCTGAAAGGTGTGGAAAAGGGTCCTTTACTTTCACTGGGAGTAGGATTGGAGATTGGGGGAAGGGGATGGGGGGTGGGGAAGGGGGGGGGGTGGGGGGGCGTCATCTGCTTGTTTGAAT